AAAAAAAAAAAAAAAAAAAAAAAAAAAAAAAATACACGCAAGTATGTTCTCGGACAAATACGGCAAATCGTTCGATTCCTGGAGAAAGAGAAAGTTCACAAAAACAACGGACAGCAAGAAACTCTTCGCTCGAAAACTCGAGAAGAAGAAGAAAAATTTGTTCTTCGGAATTCTTTTCAAAAAACGAAACAAGAAACGAAAGAAGTAAGTGTTGTTTTGCGCGCGAACTTGCGATCGCGCAACGTTCGATCTGCCAAGTCGCGGCTTTAAGTGTGTGTTTAACGCGATAAATCTCACACGCGTGTGTGTAGAAAAGAACAAAAAAAAAAAAAAATACAGATGTTTGTTGGAGCTCATTAACGAGAGCAGAGCGTTGCGCGAAATTAATTTTATCTAGCGCGACGACCAAGTCGTCCGCCTTCGGATCGTGACAATTGTTATGCAAACATATTCTCGCCGCGCTGAAGAAAGCGACGATAAGACTGACTTGAAAAAAAGACAGTATACATTTTTTGTACACCGAGAATTTTGCAAAAATTCTAGATAACGTGCTCGAATTGTTGAGAAAAGAAGAGTTTCGTCATCAAATCTCGCGTCATCATCTCTTCATTGTTGAGAAAAGATTTTTTACACTTCGGATTTGTTGTAACGTATGTTAAAATATTTGCATTGTTGACATCGATTGTCTATGTTGTTACGCCTGACAAAATTCGTTCGCGATTCCATCTTCTCGGGACCGAAATCTAAAAATTTACGAAATACGCGAGAGAAATACCGAGTTAAATGTCAGAGAGAAAGAAGTAGCCAATAAAATTGCTTAAAAAAAAAAAACAACTTTTTTTCTCGACCAAACGCGAAGAATTGTTAAAATTCTTCGCAACACGGGAAAATTAAGATCGAGATGTCACTCGAGCGCCGCCGTACAAACGCACAGACAATTAGGAGATACGTGCAGCTCATAATTACGAGTCTCAGTGTCGTCATCGCTTTTATTTTCACGTCTGTTCGCACAACAGCTGCGCGTGATTGAATTGTTTCTCTCAATACGCACAGTCGATATCGAAAGTAAATAAAAAAAAAGTATATTAATTAAAGATTGACAAAAACATTATACATGTATATATTTTTGTTTTTATTTACTTGTACTATTTATGGTTTCTCTTTCTCGCGCGCAACGTTGTGGAAATCGAAATACATCGAGACGTTGAGAATTCTCGCTCGTATCTCCTCATCTCGAGCGTATTCAGGAGCGGCATTACGCCACTACGCACATCCATACGCGGAGACTTGTATGTACAGTTACTCGATCATGACACATAAAAGCTGAATCTCTTCTTGGTTTAGTCAGTGTTGCGATTTAAAACGCATCGGTTTATCGCGCGACGTTTTTTTTTCTGCTCACTTCGCACGCGCGGACGATTACTCGCGCGACGGAGTTGAATCCGCGTCTGTGTGCTGTGTGGGACACGGAGTTACGACGAAAAAAAAAAAAAACGCGTTCATTAGCGCGGATAAAAACGCGGATATGCGTACGATCACGATGCGTAGCGGACAGGTTGTTTGTGATAATTGAGAGGCAACCATGTTTTCGAGGCACCGCAAGTCGCGCGGTCACGGCAAGTCGAAAAAAGACGGTAAAAGCAAGAAACATCACATTCACAAGTGGATGTCTCACTCCGAAGAGAAGAACGTACAAGAAGCTAACCTCTTTGCGTAAGTCCGATACTTCTCCTCTCTCTCTCTCTCTCGTCCGATTTTTTCCGACGATTTCCGTTTTCCCGCCTTACCCGATGCGTTTTTTTACTCTCAGAATTTTCGTCGAGGCCGAACTCTCGAATATCGCTCGTAACTTAAAATTAAAAAAAAAAAAAAAAATCGTTATCCGTGGAATTTGATTCTGCAGAAGTAAATTTGCAATTTTCTCCTAACGTCATTAGTCGCGTTTCTATTGTCAGGTTTGATCGTTCTCGCGTGTGTATCGGAAACCGCGCGCTGGTTCACACAACCACCAGAGATCGTCGTCGTACCGGTTTCGACGAGTTTCAATTCACGCGCGACGAAGAGAGATTCCTCTCTCTGGCCCTTCTTGCCCTGCGCACATCACACACGCGTGTGTGTGTATGTGTGTGTGGAATGCGTGCGCATACTCGTGCACAAACAATACGCGCGCCGCGCGTCGAGTAGGATCCTTCGAGATGCCGTCAGTTTCGATCGTATCCGTGATCGATCGCGACGATCGCGACCGTACCAACGACGGCAACTTCGTCGACGGGACACTTGCGTTATTATTGCAGCGTTTGCATTGTCGCCGGCATTGACAACATCGGCAGCACGCGAGATGCGTTTTAAAAATCCGTTGCCGCAGCATGGACACTATGAGTAAGTAAAAGTTCTCGGGAGAAGGGAAAAGGACGTTGTAGGTTAAGTTTCTTCTTCCCTTCGCTTCGTCCTGTAATCCCATCACGTGCACGCTTAGGTGAGCGTCATCCCGGCGACGAATTCTTTCGTTCGATCGAAGCTTACGATCTTATACACGCACGCACGCATACACACCGGCGACGAACCCGGTACGGGATTTGAAATACGTATTTTTTTTCGCGGTACACTGTAAAAATTTATCAACGTGCTCTGCGTGAAACTTGATTAAAAATTGTTTTTGTGGTGTACTGTAAAAATTTATTGCCGCACACTGTGATTTATTATTTCATTTATTACACACACACATGTGTGCAGTTTATTGTCTCGGTTATTTACGAAGGCGGTTTAAATTTTTTTTTTTTTTTTTTTTTCACTCTTTTCAGTCTAAGGAGATTTCGATATTTTATGTTTGAACACTTGACTCCAAGAATTTCTTCTAGTTTTGATTTAAAAATTTTAGATATTCGATCTCTTACTATAATTCGCATAATTGCGCGGTCTACAATTAAAAGTTAAAATACTTTTTCTAACACGTTCGCAATGAATTGTCGCGAGAACAGAATGTTATTTTTATTGATTTACAAATATATCGTAACAAGCGATTTAAATAGCTTTTAACGTCGCGTCATATTTAGATTTAAAGTAGTTTTCAACATCAATAGAATAACAATTTTCTTTGAATTTCGTGCCTCGATCAATACGATACAAAGACTAGCAATTGTAAACACGCCGTGAGAGGAATCGGGAATCCGATCTAGCGATC